GGCCGCCCCCCCCAGCCGGGACCCGGGGGGCGCCCAATACACCCGCTCCTACCTTCCCTCGACCTGTCTCCGGCGCCTCTCTGCGAAATCGGTTTCAGCATATTCTAAGGGGTCCACACACCAACTCCATATCAACACACACGTGCAAGCTACGTACGTGCTGGCACGCTGGAGCCGGGCACCGTGACACGAGGGTAGCATTGTTAGGGTCCTGCCAGGCCCGGTGGGCTGCGACGCGGCTCGCGGGGTGGACCCACTCCACGCTTTGCTTGGTTCCTAATGGCTCCGTGTTGGACAAGCACTCGCCCGTGTACTGACCCGAATGGGTAAGATAGTCTCCCTCTATTTCCAACCCTGTGCTCAAAAAACCAGTTGCAAGACACTCAAGTTCCCGCGTCCTGTAGATGCACAAATGGAACGTTTACAAAGAATGGACCTCCCATTATCAATCTGGTTAGAACATTACAAATTGCTGGAAGAACTAGGTTATCCTTTTTAGTGAGTAATTCTAGATCTAATCAGAGGAGATCCCTTAAGCTATATGGCTTTTAAAAAACCTTTGGGGGAAAAGTCGCAGAGATAAAAGGACATACAGATGTCGTACATTGTCCTAATAACCTTTGCCTGCTAGGAGTTTGGAAAGGAAACTACTGGCCAAAATTGCTTGCCCCTATTCTCATCGGATATATGTGCCTGAAAATCACTGGAAACTCCCCTAGAAACCTGGATTCTTAAATTACCCATCTGTTTACAGAGCTGATCTCTAGGAACTTAGAAATGAACAGCAGTGAGTTGGCCTTTGAAGTACACCAGTCAAACATGGTCTTTCAAAACATTAACAGCCCTGGAACTGATAGCCGCATCTCTGAGTAGTGTTTGGGTGTTTTGTTGTTTGTTTTTGTTTCAAGCTTTTTTTTTTCCACTTCAAAGATCATGAGATATTTTCAGTCCATTCGAATAATAAAATAAGGCATGAGTAGGCAGCAGGTAAATGCACTCACCACCCAACAATCAGAGAATCAGCATTCAATCCCAGGACCCATCCATAGGGGGGATGAGATTAAATACCATTACAACTAGATAGAAGGAAATCATGCCATATCTGATTGCAATGCTGCACTGGGAACCACCTGTTTAAGTGAATCACCTTTTTAAAAAGGTCTTATTTCCGCTGTAGAGGAATGGCTACTTCTATATTTCTATGTATTCTACAGAGGCCATTCAAGAATGACTCTCTCTCTCTCTCTCTCTCTCTCTCTCTGTGAGTGTGAGTCATACCTTTTAGGAAAGAAAAGGATTACATAATTCCCGTCACCCCACCACCCCAGTTATACTAAGTAAAAATTACTTTTTTTTTCTTTTTTTTTTTTACACCTCTCTTAGATAACCTGTCCCTAAGATTTCCTATTCCTTTGCTCTGGTTTCCCAGCCCAACAGCATTATTAACTGCATTTGCCTGTCAGCTGGGTGCGTGTATGCGAATGGGTCAGAAGGCCAGTAGCGAGAGGTTGGGAGAAGGTCTGGAAGACCAAAAGAATGTAGTTGTTTCCGTGCAACCTGTGACACACTCTGGATTTATGTACTGGGTTGTGAAAAGAAGGCAAAGGGTTGAGGTTCTGAAGGAAGTAGTTATGGACAGGAGGAATGATGGACTTAAGGTATGATTTGCACCAGATGAGTTTCCCAGACTCCACACAGCCCTCCTCATCTTCCTTGGCCACAACCAATAGACTCCATGCCTCATAATATCTATTCAGCAGATTACTTTTTTCACATTCTGCTTAGAGAAAAGTTATAGAAATGCAGAAGGTAGAGACTATTCAATTAAAAGTGAAAATGCTGTCTGTTGTGGAATTATATTCTTACCTTATACTCTTTTTTTTTACAAAGTCCAAATGACTTAAGTCATATAAAAATTGAAATATTTTCTAAAGCTAAGAAAAACAGAGAGGTGAAATTTGTGAGATTTTTGAGTGGAGAAAAAAAATCCAAAATTCTCCAGGACTCTCTCTCTCTCTCTCTCTCTCTCTCTCTCTCTCTCTCTCTCTCTGTGTGTGTGTGTGTGTGTGTGTGTGTGTAAGAAAGTCACACACAAATAGATTAATAAATTTGACTCCATAAAAATGTATAAAATCATGTCCAAAAAAAAAAAGTGTGGCCTCTAAAATATGTCCATGGCAAGTCCCTTCTTATGCACTTTCTCCTGGTTTCTTTCAGAGTAAAGTTCAGCGTGTAAGCCTTAGGACTCAAGAAGAGTCATGTTCACTACCGTAGACAGTTGAAGCCTCTTCTTGGCTTGCTAACAACTGATTGTAGTAATAGTTCAGCCCCCCTGTCACTGAAGTGCAGTGCTTTCTGTTTTGCTTTTACTTTTATTCTTGGTTTTCTATCTCTGTTTTGCATTAAGGGTGAATGACGTAAAAACTGAGTCATGTAGATATTCCTCCTCCAAAAGCACAGACTTACAGGCATAGTGTAGTACTGTCTATGTAAAGCCCCAGGAACACAGAAGAAGAGCACATGACGATAAATAAGTGAACAGAAAGCAGCGGGTTTCGGTAAGGTTACTAATGTAAAATGTCATTCTCAACAAAGAAACTTTCCTGAAACTCAATCTAATGAGATCTTCCCTGCATCTTTCCCCAAACCACAAGCTAATTTATCATGCTACATTTACACACATCTAGGTACACAGTACCCATTAAGTGGGAAATGCTGCAGGGAAAGTTGCTAGTCTCATTTAAAAGCAAAATGTTGTTAAAATATAGTTTTAATAACATAATGCCGGTGGCTCTGTCATTATTACACTTCTTCTTCTTTCTTTGGGGTGTGTTAATGTGTGTGGTGCATACATGTATGTGTGTGAGGTGTGCTGGCTCATTCTGGACAGAGATTGACTTCAGAATATCTTACTCAATTCCTTCTCCACCATGTGTCTTGAGACAGAGTCTCTCAATGAACTTGGAGTTGGTTTTCACCTTGACAGGCTGACCATTAGCTCCTGGGACCCATGTCTCTAACCCCCTCACCCCCAGTACTGGACTTAGACACACATGCTGCTACATTCAGCTGTTACCTGGGTGCTAGGGATTTGGACTCAGGTCCTCATTGCTTACATAGAGAGCACTTCACCCACTAATGGGTGTCTATAGTTTTTCTTAATGCTTAGTAATTCAAATTCCATGGAAAAGGGATTATGTTATGTGTAGGTATGCTGTGACTATTACTTGTACAATAGTAGCTAGGGATAGTAAGAGAACTAAGAATTGTTCAGTACATATTACCAGGCAAGCTCTGCCTATCCCATCCTAGAGTCAAAGAAACAGGACACTTGATGGCACAGGCTGCTCCCTGAATGTCTCATGTATATTTCCAACTCCTTGTGGTTCCTTTCCTGTCTAACAGCCAGGTACAGAGCAGATTTCTAATCCCCTAACTCCAGGCTAATTGCTATGGGAGAAGAGCTAGAACCATTCCAGCCCTTATGCATATACACCTTTAGGGATGCCTGTCAAAACTCCATTCTCAGCAGGCATTACCTTGGACTAGTTATGTAACTATGTTTGGCAAGTAGCAACTTCTTCCCATGTCAGCTCCCTCTGTAATTGAAGGAGGGTTACTAATTGCATGTTATGTTCCCATTAGCACAGACTTTTATGAACTTCGGAGTTCCACAATCATTTGTCCTCCAATTGCTACTGTCTGCTCTGATTTTTTGGTGGTAGTGGTGCTGGTATGTAAGTGGATGTGGGTGTGGGCATTTGATCACTTGCATGCACTAAGGTACACATTGAGGCCAGCACTCAACCTTGGGTGTCAGTCTTCAGGCACAGTCCACTTGTTTGTTTGTTTTTAAGACAATGTCTCTCACTGGCCTAGAACTCAACAAGTAGGCAATGCTGGCTGGCCAGCAAGCCCCAGGCATCTGGCTGTCCCTGCCTCCCCAGAGCTGTGATTGCAAGCACCTGTGCCACCACACTGATTTTTTTTATGTTAATTCTGGGGCTCAAACTCATGTCCTCCTGCTTATATGGCAAGCACTTTACCAACTGAGCAATCTCTCCAACCAACCGCTTTATTCCACTAGACTCTTCTAAGGCCCTTTGTAAAATGTTCTCTGGAATAG